CAAGTAACGCTACTGGAGTCCTTTCCCCTAACTCAGCTTTTCATGGCATATAGCCTATCAACACTCACACACTTAACGTGATAACCGCCCAGATGGCCAGTATTGGCGGCTAACCGTAAGGGCGAGAGCTCTGCTTTAATTTGTATTGTTTGAGCCGAGATCCGTGCATATGAAGTTCAGAGTCAAAAAAAAACGACAAAAAAAATCAGTCAACCTAATACATTTTCAAGTTCCACTTCTAATTATCTTAGCAAAGCAATAGCAGGCTGATAAAGCGTAGAACAAGGGCATTTACTTGCCATTTGAGGTGATAATACTCAAAATAGTGAACCAAGTCCGTCCGTTGCGACATGTTGGGAGAGCCGCGGTTGGGAATCTACTTGAAAATTTATTTACGATCACGGAAACATAAACACACACTAAAACAGTGTTGTTGTAACGGCTGAGACGGTGTGCGGACGAATCCCTGCCTTTTTACGAAATAGATTCACCAAGAATTTTCGATACGGACCAATGAAATATAGTGCAAGCAAAGTATTGAGAAAAGCCGCCATAGACGGCAGAATCATTATAAGATATTCGAAAATTTTAATTTGCAGTCCAAATCGTACCGATATTATATAATAAGTCGCAATAGGTATATAAAGCACACATGGTACCAGACCTTGTAAGGAAAGTGCCTGAAAAGAAGGCAAAACGATATCTGAAGTTATCTAAACTTTACCGTGTATTCAATAAAAGTTTTATAGTGCCCTCCTCACAATTCATCGATTCACTATGCATTAGGCACCATATCCTTGAGGAGTTGACCAGTTCGGCGAAAGAGTTGCGATTGAGATTTCAACGCAGTAAGAATGATTTCATTACAACGACTTTCCTGGGTTTTGAAACGGCTTGCCCTGGTTTTGTTTAGAGCAAAGTTTACGATTAGAGGCAGCCTATTAGGTTTGAGGAAGAGGTGGACATTGGTGCCGGATGGAGAAAAAACTATTAGGAAGGCCCAGATCCCGAAAAATGGGATTCCTCCTCGCCCGTTGACTCCAGCGTTGACGGACGCAGCGCTGCTGCTGCTCTCTTCAAAGCAGCGCTCTCGCCGCTAATCGACTAGAGACCTGCTGCGGGTAGCAGCCAGTCGGTGGACGAGCCACACCAATAGCGCTGCGGGGAGACTGCTAGATTGCCGTGGCCGGCTATGGTACTGGCAGCTCAAGTAAAAAAATTATACCTCAAAGTCAAGTTCATGAAATTTACAACATAAAACGCTTACTAGAGAAGTGCTCGCTGTACAAAGGGTCTGAGCACAGATCCTGTCACGAGGAGTGATAGCCTTTTTCAGCACTTTATCAGGATGACCGAATTATGGTGATCCAGTTTCTTTAGCAAGCGGCTGATTGTCTTGATTATGTGGGTGGGAGTGCTTGAACCCTTTAAATGACGCGCTGATCCTCTTTATCGTTTCAGAAGGAGAACCCCATTCCAGTGCTCCACGTGAATCGACAGCATTGTGTTTCCAAAAGACTGACAGGTTGAGCGGATTTAGGCCGATGTCAGACTTTGCGAATCGCGCGATTCGCAAAGTCTGACATTGCCTTACCCTCCTCTTTGCGGGGTGGATCAGCACTCGAACCCCGCCAGTTTATACGTTCTGTGGTCAAGTGGACGTGTTCATACACATGGCATTTGATCATGCAAAGCCAGCAAGGTCCAGGGGGAAATGATTGACGACAACAAAGGTGCTAAACTGAGTGATCACCCTCCCCGATGCGACCTCTGCTGAAGAAGAAATAGAAGAGGGTCCGCTCTAGAGGTAGGTCATGGCGCAAGTAATGGATCTCCCATAAAGGCCTTCTCCTTATAGATGGCTTGATGTTCACTGAGCATAGTTTGGTACGAAAAATCAATGTGCAATGCACCCTACGGAAGTTTTGTATAGAATGGATTCATTAACATATGGAATCCCACATGGACGAGCATTCTTGAAGATGTGAAGGTTTTCTCTGAGAGGCTAGATCTGATAGTGTCGAGGCGTCTAACGATAAGGCGACGCCAATAAAATATGAGTGCTGGCAAGACAAATGATCCTATGATAAGTATCAGCGTGTTCTTTTTGTAGCCAATATGAGTAGTAATAACGCCACCGAATGGCCCATAACTTGCAATTTCAGGATATTCTGCCAATACCACAGACATTACATACTCATAATCTTTCCGTGATAATGTGGGTGTAATCTGAAAATGCACGTTATGAGGTCAAAATTAGACGATACGATGCAACAAATGCTCAAGCAAGCGGTTCGAACTTAGGTTGAACAATTTTTCCGCAATTCAACCTGGCTGCTCTGACCTCACATGTTATGGCGAATGTAGTTCTGCTACCAAGCCTTGGAGAGTCGCAGACGTTGACGCTCTGGACATATGGTTTGGGCCCATTCTAGCTTGGAATAGGGTAGGGGCCTGTGAAGTTCCACGAACCTAGCTCCAGTGGCTCCATTGAATGTGATAATGACTCCATGAAACACAATGGAACTGCAACGGCACCCGTGCTTGTCGCACTGCCGGCTGGTTGGCAGGAAGATGGGGCTGTCGGACGAAGGTGTGGATTGCGGATAAAGCAAGCCTCTAACGCCTTTGCGACGCGGTCGCAAGGCGTGCAGCTTTACTTTACCGGGTTATGGACTAGGATAAAAAGGATAAAAGGATAAAGCATTTGCCGTTGATCAATCCCTTTTTGGGATGCGGCACGCATTCTACTTCCATTTGTACATTCGTAGTGGCGTTTGAATGCGATGTGGCCTATACAATGACTTGCGGGGGCCAGCCGATGTACAAGTCAGTGTTTTTATCCTCCCAGACAAGTCTGGTACCAATTAACCGACCCCGGAGGGATGGAAGGCTTGGTTGGCCGAGGTAAGCAAACCAGCCCTTTTGGCGTTTCTGCTGGGGCCGTATGCTGAATGTTGGGGAGGGGATGGGGTCCCCGAGGTCGACGGACTACTTCAACTCGGTCGGTACGGTAGGAGAGTACTGACGCAAGTGGTGCAGCTGGTCCAGCAGCTCCGCCAAAAGGGCTGGTTTGCTCACCCCAGGACTAAGCCTTGGAGAGGGACGGACCCCTCTCTTTAAGGCTTAGTTCTGAGGTAAGCACCAAATTGTGGCGGTTCTAAGGACCGAGTTGAAGTAGTCCGTCGACCGTCGGGGACCCCATCCCCTCCCCAACATTCAGCATACGGCCCCAGCAGAAACGCCAAAAGGGCTGGTTTGCTTACTTCTGGTTGGCCCTGGCGACTCACGGCCAAGGATTTGATCTCAAGACCGCTCGCGTGATGAGCGTGCCACTTGCCATACTCCATTTCCACCCATCGACTAGGATACTGTGTAAATAAATCCAGTAAATGCTTCCATGGCATGAGCACACCTCATGCCATGGAAGCATTTACTGGATTTATTAAACACCGAAACAAATGAAGCAGGATTCTGTCAATATCTCTCCATGTAAATGCAGAGTACAACCTCTACTGATTACACAAAACAAAAATCACTCACCATGCAGACTGGTAAAACATAGGAAAGGAGCATGGTTACAATGACTTTGGCGCGAGTCATAGCCACCATCTTCATTACGGAATAACGAAAGTACATCGCAGCTCCAACTGTGAAGGCCACGTTTGTTATAAATGCGTTATAAACTGGGTAAGACACGCCGGCAGCTACTGGACCTATCGCCCTGCACGGTCCTATTGGTAGGAGCGCCATCACATTTTTAGTTGTTAGTACCCTAAAAACATCAATTTTAAACATCAACCGTATTCTAGGGTTTCGAAAACATATGGATTGTGATAATTCGACAGAAAACTTGCTAACTTGTTGTATGCCTTCAGACAATCAGAGTAAATGTAATACATCCGAACGAAATAAGGGTGACCTTCCAACGACTCGGAATCAGGGATTTAGGCGTGAAAGCTAAATAGTGGGCCAAGTAGCCGGAATGAAAGAAATCCTCGGGTCAGATTTAAAGGCAAAGGTCGGGCTCAGGCACGCTAGAGAAGTAATTCCCGTGCCTGGAGGTTGTATGTGGGTAGCTGCACACATTGCAGCAACTTCCCACCTTGAAAAACCCCGTTAAGGCCCCGGGGCGTTCGGTTTCAATCCAGGGCCGCCTGGTCAATCCGGACCGCCCACCTCCGGAAGTGGTGCGTGGCTGGCATAACGTGTGAAATCAGCTAGGTTGATTGCCGTATCAACCGATAGAACGACTGACATCTCCAGAAAACTTGTTTGTACGTGCCTCTTCCCCAAGCCAGCCTCCTTCACTGCTAGTGGGAAGAGGGTTTTGTTAACGGCCTTGTCGACGGTTTTTCTCAGTTTTTTCCACTGTCGTTCCACTTCGCATCTCTATACTCAGTTTCAATCGCCATAATACCCCCTTATTGAGCCCGACTTTTGCCTTCAAATTACTCAAGAGTTGAATGGTCTGAATGTAAAAGCCCGACTTTTGCCTTCAAATTACTCAAGA